TAAAAGTTACATTTTAATGTAAACATTGGTAATTTTTATAATTACTGTGAAATGATCAAGTAATGATGCAGCTCATTAATGAAAGAATGAGATTTAACTTCAACGCTTGCTTTGCTTAAAGAAAATTTGTACTATTGTTGTGTCTAAATTTTCTTGTTTTTATTTTTCCCAAGCGTTTTTTAATGCTGTCCCAAGTTAAATTGAGATTATTATTTAAAAAAAAAATATTATAGAGATAGGACAAAAAATTAATAATGAAGTGAGGAAATAAATAGAAATATGTATAGCTTAGAAAATATTAGTTGTTTATTATTCAGTGGTTGATGTGAAAAGATGTACAAGGTTAGCTGTTATTTTTATCTAGTTTGCTGTAAAAAATAAATTAATAAAATGAAAGGAAAAAAACTTGATAATTAATTTAATATGTAAGTCCTTACTATAGAAAGGTACATTCTGAAGTCTGTGAACTATAAATGACTGAAAATTCTAGTAAATAATTCTAGATTGTGTTCATTTATCAAAAAAATAAGTTCAGTCTTGAAATTTTTTTAGACTGACACCCATGGTGACCACTTACTCCTCAAACCTAATGTGTCAGTGACCGATATTGATAGGTCACCGACTCATGTGGAATTAACTTTATATATCTTTTCATTTAATACCCACTTTTTGTAAGCTTTTTTTTGTGCTTAAATTAAATTATATTTTTTTAAAAAAGAAATCCTTAAATGCTTGCAGAATAACAAAATGTAAATGATTTTAGGTTAGAAGGACCACTTAGACCTACTACTAAGAATTCAAGTCCTGCTTTATCCAAATTTGAACCCCATTCAACGAGTCATCCTGTTGAGATTAGAGTCATCTATCTCAAGTAATTCTTTCTTATTGTTTTCTTCTGAGCCTTTTCTACCTGTTGTTTTGGTTCCATCTTTATTTCATTTGTTTCTTTCTAAAATAGAAAATTTAAGCATATTGGTTTTTTAAAAGTTTTTCTTCTGTTCTTAAAAACTTTGAAATTGATTAAAATGATTTAATTTCCATTAAATACATCAGTCAAACCTCGCTATAGTGAACCTTCAAAAAACCAAAATTTCGGTTCACTGTAAGTGGGAGCTCACTATATCCGTACTACAAACAATTTCAACTAATTTTTCTGAACTGCTCCCTTTTATTACATATTATTTAAATAAATGACTAATAAAAAGAAATACAAAAAGAATTAAAAAACAATATGTAGTAACAAAAAATGTGTTCACTTTTATTTTTTATTACTCATCGTCTTGCTTACAAAAAATTTAGGGATGAAAAACTGAGATAGAAGAAGCAATTAAGAAAAAATGCTTCTGGCTACATTTCACTCAATAAGAGGTCTTAAAAATTGGTATATGTATTTTATGTAGAAATTTCAAAATTACCAAAAAATGAAGGAAAAATCACTCCAGGACAGAAGAAAGTTCAGAATATCTAATTTCCTCTCATCTTTTGGTTCACTATATCCACAAAAAATGATATTATATGTGTATGGCAAAGCACATGAGTGAACATTTCGTTCACTATATCCGGGGTTTTCACTATAACAGAGTTTGACTGTATTTTATTAATTTAGGGGGATGTTGTTTGTTTTTTTTTAGGGTGACTTAGTTGTTAAAAAGTAAATCTTTTATTTTATTGATTAATAAGTTCTTCCTTTAATTTTTATTTTCCTGCAGCATTGCTTCTTATTTTAGGATAATTTACTTATTTATTTTTAATGCAATATTTTATTTTTTTCATTTATTTTGTTTAATTAATTCTTCATTAATTTTGTTTAATTCAAAGCATTATTTTTTGGTTATTTGTTCTATTTGATTTAACTTAATAAATATGGAATAACTTTAACTTACTTACTTACTTATCCTCTACGTGACTTGGGCACTTAAGGCCTCCAGCATATCCCTCCAACGCCTCCTGTCTTTAGCAATAGATCTTGCTTCCTCCCAGCCAGATATTCCACATTCTTTTAATTCGCCCAAAAACATGCGCTGGATGGTAAGTCTGGGTCTTCCTCTTGTTCTCTTACCATCAGGGGCCCATGTAAGCGCAATAACTTTAACTAGATATGGATTATTTATATGTTTGTTAGTTTCTTTTTAGGATGGTTTGATATTTGTTGTTAAAAATATGTTTTTTGTCTTCAGTTATGTTCTTTTTAAATAAGTGTTACTCGATTAAGTTTAACAATTTTTTTAATGTTTTATTTCATGTTAAAGAAATACTTTCTTGCCAACCCAATAATAATAACATGGTGCGTTTTTAAAATGTGCTTAAAGGTGCTTTCTTTTCGTTTTTTAAAAGCCCTTAAAGGTCTCCATTGAGTGTTTTTAAAAAGTGTGTAATTTTCAATTTTCGAAAATTAGATTTCTTTCTTTACCATGTTGATTTTCGACACATATTATGCAAAAGCGTGCTTTACACATAGTTCTATTCAGCATTTTCACAATTCATTCAACCACAGGTTACTTCGGCGCATTGTAGGTCCATAGCGTATGAAAGCGCCAATCTTTTCACATGTTAAGTAAAATACTTGTGAGTTTGCATACGCATCCACTGAGCTGGGATCAGTGAGATTCTTGCACTCTCATGTGCAAATCATGATTTAAATCAAATGATTTTTTTTTAGAAAATCATTGATTTAAATCAAATGATTTTTTTAAAGAAAATCATTGATTTAAATCAAATGATTTTTTTTTATATATATTGATTTGAAAAGTTGAAAAACAGTGTTTAAAATTGATACTTTTATTATTTTCTTTTCTTAGTTTTAAAATTTATTTTAAATGAAGTGCTGCATTAATTAATTTTAGTTATCGAAATTACTTTCTTTCCTCGTGTGTGATAAATTCCAACACATTTGAAATTACATTTTTAAAAATCTTTTGATACTTGAAATTTAAAGTACTGATTAAAGTAAACATTCAATGATGTCTTAATAATAGACTTTCATAGCTGTAAAAAGTAATTATTAAACATGAATTTTTTTCACGCAAAAAAAATACAAACAATGTTAATTTAAATTCTACCTTTTGATTGAAAAGGCATGGAGTTAAAATTTATATTACATTTTATCGGTGGAAAATGTATTTTTCTAAAGCTTGAGGTTATATTAAGAAGAAATTGGCCTTATATGCCAAAAATAGAAAAAAAAATGCTGATTAATTTAGATATTTTTTTTCCGGATATAGTGTCATTCTTCCCCTTCAAACTCTTTCAAAGTCTATTTAAAGCAGTTGGGTTATTAACTGGTAACAGTGTGCATGTTTACAGTGTACATCTTTGACATTATCAGAAAGAAATTTTGTGAGAAAAAAAAATTCCAATAAGTGCATAGATTTTTTAACAACTTTTTTTAGCTTAACTTATCTATTTTGATTTGGAATTAAAAAGGAATATTTTACTATAAAAATATATAGATTAAATATTTGTTTATTTTTTGATGAATGACTACATTTATAAACACAGTCTGTTACATTTATTTTGTCATTTTAAAAATCAAGAGAAAGAAAATCACAATTTTAAATTAAAATTATGGTTTGCTAATTGAAACTTTGGTTTAATAGTTTAAGTATTCTTTAAATTCTCTATTTCATCTAGTCTTTAAATTTCAATCTTGCATTTGTTTCGAAATGGTTGCTATGCTATGTATTATAATGAAAAATTGTTTTAGGTAGTTAAATCTTCTAAAATATTGTTATAATATAGTTTAATATTAATTTAAATTTGATTAAAAAAATTTAAACTTTTTTTAATCATAAATCAAAGTTCTTACAGTATATTTGAATAAAAATCAAAAAAATCTGATTTAAATACAAAAAAATCCGTTTTTTTTTTGTTCTTTTAAAAAAAATCAAAAAAATTACAAACCATGCTCATGAGCAACTGTGCTGCTTTTTGCAAGATATTCTCAATTTCAAGCTTCATTTTCCACCCTCTGATATCGAACTGAAAAATCTCTCCAGTATTTTATAATGGCTGATATAATCAAGAAGAGAGTTCTTTGTCAAAGACTAGTTATTTTATCATGATCATGTAAAGTCTTTGAAAATTATTTTGCATTTTGTGAATGTATATAGTGCTTAAAAATATTTTTAATTGCTTAAAAAATGCTTATTTTTTGTTGAAAGATTTGGCTACCCACCCTGAATAAGATTTTAAATTAATTGTTCTGAATTATTTCTACAGATATCAAGTCCAGTCCTGTTTGTAATCTTAAACCGGGCTATACCTGACCTGAAATTGAGTGAAAAATACACTGAACAGGAAAAACATCCTAATTTGGGTGTAAGTAAAGGAAACCACTTGTGTACTGTAGATGTTTCTTTTAGATATGAAATATCTTTTTGTGATACAGAACAGACATTCTCATCTGTTGAAGGAAATATGTGTATTTTTCATCAGATATCATATATATATCAGCTCATCATTTGTGTACAAAAATGGAAAATATTTGTTTTGAATTCATATAAAAATTTCAAGGCTGTAAAAAGTTTTCATTGACAATTTTATAGCTGTAACTATTTAAAAAAAAAATTAGTGTTATTGAAAAAAGTTTTTTAATAATGTACAATGGGCCTAGAAAAATTTTTTTTTAATTTATTGTTAGGTGAAAAAGTTTTTATTTATTTTTTATTTAGGTGAAAAAGTTTGATTAAAATAAGGATGCACAACCTGTGTCCTGCGGATCACACGCAACCCGCCAACTGTTAATGTGCAGCATGCAGGAGCTTCTGAATGCTATAAAAAATTTCCTTTTAATTTAGTTTTTTTTATAGATATTTTATTTAATTAAAATATTTAATTCAAATTTATATCACTCCATAAAATATGTATATTTTTTGCACTTTCAATTTTCCTTCTTACATGAAACTCCTTTTTGTAAATAGTGTTTTTAAAAATAAAGCTCTTGTTTTTTTTGTAGTTTTGTATTACATCTTGCATTGTTTAATTTTATTGAATTATTTCAGAATACAAAATGTTCCGTATTTGATGGTTGCATCTTTAGCAGGTTTTCTTTATATCTATGAACTGAACGTTGAAATGGGAAGAGCTAGTGTTTTAATAAAACAGCACAGGTACAAAATATTTGCTTCTTAAAAATAATAATAATAAATATGAATTGTGCATTATTCTCTTCAGAGTTTGGAATTTTTTGGTTGGTAAAACTTGAAACCCATAAAAACTGTGGTTGGTTAGATTTAAAAACATCAAAACTATCTCAAAATTCTATTGTTCATAGTTAGACTTTTTCATATATATATTCGTCGTTGAACAGGCGATCCAATTTTGGGTTTACGACTACTGCTAATGTTCAACTCCATATCCTTGTTATTTTGAAACAATGCGGAAGAGAATGAAACTCCTGGATCAGTCCTCCCAGAGTTATGATTTGTTATGAAAACATGGAGGACTTTGTGACTCGAAAGAATTAACGTTCATCAGTCACCATTTACTGCACTGGGAGTCTTTGGCCAGCTGAGATCGAACCCACGAACTCTTGCCCGTGCCTTATCAACCAGGCTATATCAGCCTCCTAGTTAGACTTTGTAAAAGTTAAGCATTACATAATTATTTAGTAGCAATAAACTGTAACTCAAAATTAACTATGCATTATTTAAATTACTATTAAATGCTGATCGAAGTGTTTAAAAATAGTTGGTTTTTTCCTTCCTCTTTTAGCTAGTCTAAAAACTAGACATTGCAAGGTAGTTTTGCGGGAACAGTGCTAGACTGCTAAGACATTGGCAGTTAATCAAGCTGTAATTTCTGGAATTTTCTTTTTTAAGATAATTTTAAAAGAAATAGCTGCTTTTACAAATGACTCAAAACTGTTATGAGATTTAAGGATAAAGTTATTAGGGGGCTGTCTAGGTTTTATGAGAGGTACCTATTTTATGAAATTTTAGACATAATTTGTGAAAATTAAAAGTTACATTAAAAATCAACACAAAAATATGGTAAAATACGAAATTATTTTCTAAAATTCTCACTACAAATAAAAATAATTTATGACTAGTAAATTTCTATATATTTTTGTCCATATATTAAAAAGTAATTTGGCTATTGTAAAATTTCGGGCTTAAAATTGTATCCAAATTTAAAAATCCATTGTTCATAGTTAAATTTCAACTTGCAATTAACAGTACTAGAACTAAGTTATTTTCATTATGAGAACATTTTCAACTAGGTCATACAGAAAAAGTTTCACAGGGAAAACAATTTTTCATAAAAAATAAAGATCTGTTAGAATAAATTTACAATGATGTTGAAGATAATATTCAAATGTTTAGAATGATGTTTGAATTTTGACTTCCCTTAAAGTTCATAGCGAGAGAATCTCATTGTTTCATTTTAAAAAACTCTGGGATTTATAGTTTTTTTATAGGGATACAAAAACATATCTGGATAATCTTAGAACTTACTTATTTTAAAGTATTTTGTGAATATACCGTTTTTTTCGAAAGTTGATTTTGTGAAGGTACCGGTAAACAGTGGTAAATTTGCCCTGGATAGACCCCTGATTATTCTTTGAGTTTAGTAATTAATTAATTTTTAGTAATTAATTTTCTATATACTCATGCATTTTAAAACTTATTTAAATAATCTTAAAATTTCAGGATTTAAATTTGTGTTTTAAAACTAATATTTTAAATTAAATGTGAGTTAAAGTATAGTTAGATCTTTATTTTATTTAGTTTTTAAAATTTTTTGAGTGCATAAAGTGTTTTTGATATTTAATCTATCACAATTCTAATTCTTGTTCATACTAGTTGTTAAAGATTTAATTTTTCGTTATAAATTTGAATGCAACATGTTATAT